TTCTTCTCGCTTTGGGCTTTGTTTGTTGTTCTTTTTCAAGTTATTTAGGTATAAGGTTACATTGTTTATTTGACATTTTTCTTGTTTCTTGAGGTAGGCCTATATTGCTATGAATTTCCCTCTTAAGCCTGACCCATAGACTTGGGGTTATTAAATTTTATTTTTATTTGTCTCAAGGTATCTTTTGATTTCTTCCTTGACCTCATTGTTAACCCAATCATTGTTTTAGTAACATGTTATTTAGCCTCCATGTTTTTGTGTGTTTTTTAGTTTTTTTTTCCTTGTAATTGATTTATAGTTTCATACCATTGTGATTGGAGAAGATGCTTGATATGTTTTCAATCTTCTTAAATTTATTGAGACTTGTTTTTATGGCCTAACATGTGGTCTGTTCTGGAAAATGTTCCATGTGCACTTGAAAAAAAATATATATTCTGCTGCTTTGGGATAAAATGCTCTAAAAATATCAATTGAATCCATCGGGTCCAATGTGTCATTTAAGGCTGCTGTTCTCTTGTGGATTTTCTATCTGGAAGATCTATCCATTGATGTCATTGGGGTGCTAAAGTCCCCGGCTATGACTGGATTACTGTCAGTCCTCTCCCTTTATGTCCATCAAAATTTGTTTTATATATTTAAGTGTTCCTGTGGCGGATGCATAAATATTTACAAGGGTTATATCCTCTTGTTTGATTGCTCCCTTTATCATTATGTAATTTCCTTCTTTGTCTCTTTCTATAGCCTTGGTTTTAAAGTCTGTTTTGTCTGATGTGAGTATTGTTACCCCAGCTTTTTTCCCCCCATTTGCATGAAAAATCTTCTTCTATCCCTGTTAATCTGTGTGTGTCTGAGTGCACGTGTGAGGGGCCAAGCTGCAAATGGAGGCCATTCACCAACAGTTCCAGGCCTGGATCAGGTCATCAAAAGGCCCAAGGCACCCCAAGACCCACTGTTGCCTGCTGGCAGTCTTTTAGGCTCAGCCACTGAAAGAGCCTGGCAGTACATGAGTTCATGAGGCAGGTTATCAGGGAAGGGCCGGGTAGGGGAGAGTGGTGTTCACCAGGTTAATACAGATTCAAACTCGGCTCCAGGTCTGGTCTGAGGCCACTCAGCATAAGTCTCAGGGTACACTGAGGCCAGCCACCACCCACCTGTGGCCTTCAGACCTTTATGTTGGGGGGTGGTCTCAGAGAGTCATCAGGGTAGAGCTAGTGCAGTGCTCTAGGCTAATGCCTGGGGAGCAGGAATGTTGGCTCTGATTGGAGTCCTGGAGAAAATGGGCTTTACCCTAAAGCCACACAATTCAGTTTCTTTCTGTGTGTCTCTGGCCCATAACCCTCCCCCCACTGGAGCTTGCCTGGAATTCTAGAGTTTTTCAGGAAAGAAATGCAATGCAGGCTAGGGGCTTGGCAGGGTAGAGCCCCAGGGAGTTGTCAGGGTGGGGCTAGTATATGTAGCTCCCAAGGCAAATGCCATGAGGGGAATGCTGAGGCCAGCAAAGATGGCATCTGTGGGCTGCGAGAGAGACTCAGCACAGGGATGTTGGCGGCTGTCTCTCCAGCCTTCTCCCTGAAGCCACCAACTCATTCTCTCCGTGTGACTCCAGCATCCTCTGAGCTGCCATCCCCTCAGCAGAACCAGGGTGAGTGCCTGCAAGCGAGATTTTGTGTACTTCCCTTGGAAGAGGACACCTGGGTTTCCAGCATCTCCCATCTCACCCAGGCAGAAGGAATCCCCACCAGGTTTCACTGCCCGATGCTATGGGGGCTCTTCTTCCTGGCACTGGTGCTCTGGGCTGTTGAGCCTGGCAGGGGTTGAGGCCCTCCACTCAGAGGGGATTTTTGCAGCTGAAGTGTCCCTCTGGATTCTCAACCTCCACATGTGGGTGCAGGGCCAGCCCTTTCGTGTGTCTGCTCCTCTTGCCAGTCTCGGGGTGGCTTCTTCTGTAAATGCTTAGTTATAAGACTTCTGTTCAGTTAGTCTTCAAATGGTTGTCTAGGTTGATTGTTTTATAACCTAGTTGTAATTTTGATGAGAGGTGAGTGCAAGTTTTTCCTAATCCACCATCTGGATTGCTCCCACCATACTTTATTTAACTTGTGCTATTTAGGTTGTTTTGTGGGTATTTAGGTTGTTTCTAATTTGGTATTATTAACAATCTGATAAGTAAAATTTCTTTGGTGAACCTTGGAGTGCTTTTGTGAACCTTGAAGCTCTCTCGTTATCTCTTTGGAATAAATTCCTTGAAACAGTGGGATTAACTGGAGAGGAAGCTCTCTCTTTCTTTGCAAAATGAGCCAGGCTTTGGACAGCCACAAACTTACTCTAAAAGAAGGAATAATAGTTCCTCCATATTGTAATTTTCTCTGTTTATATGCAAGAAGTGTAGTGGGTCTGCTTGCATGGGAATGAATAAAAAGCTGAACATACTGCACAGCAGGTACCATGTGAACAGAAAAGATCTCTAGTTTCCACTGGCCGAATTCTTTGAGGAAGGAAGAGAGGAGTGAACTGATAATTAAGTGAATGAAAATCAACATCTTACTCTATTTTAATTAATACAAAATTATATATCATTTTAATTCACCCGACAACTTTATATATGATTGAAATTGTGGGCTAAATCTATATAACTATTTAAATTCTATGATAAGGTAGGTGTTTGCTCAGCCTGAGCCATCTTATCTATTTTATTTTTAGTTGACATCGCATTTATTTAATTGATTTATATAATGACACTAACAGTACAAGTTTATCATGAAAAGTAGGAGAAAGTTAAGAACGGTTCATATTCTTCTAGACATTCTCTCTCTAAGTATAACTCCCAACAGCAGTACCTAGCACTTGAGACGTGCCCTAACCAGAATTCATTGTGTCTGTAGAGGGAACTCAGTCTGTGAAGTATTATGCCTGCTTACAGGTTTATAGTCACTTAACTTTCTATATTGCAATAATTTTAGAGATTCCAAGAGGCAACAGAGTTTTTTCAATTGCGGGCTAAATTCAGCTCTGTAAACATAATTACAGAAAGTAAAGATTGGTCAGGACACATATAGCAGGCAACTCATCGATGTTTCTCTCTCACATCAATGTTTTTTCTCTCTCTTTCCCCCCTTCCTCTCCCTCTCTCTAATCGATTAAAAAAACATATCCTCGGGTGAGGATATATATATATATATATATATATATATATATATATATATATATATCAACAAACATCTCTATATCCCCACAAACTAGAGAGAGTGAGGAGAGAGAAATCAAGATCATATGATACATATCTTCCTCTGACTGGCTTATTTCACTTATCATCATACACTCCAGGTCCCTCCATGCTGTCTCAAAAGAGAAAAAGAGATTCTTTTTTTTTTTTACATCTGCATAATATTCCATGGTGTAAATGTACCACAGATTTTTTTTATCCACTCATCTACTGATGGGCACTTGGGCTGTTTTCAGATCTCAGCCATTGTAAATTGTGCTGCTATGAACATAGGGGTGCATATATCCTTCTGATTGGTGTTTCGGGTTTCTTAGGATATATTCCTAGAAGTGGGATCACTGGGTCAAATGGAAGTTCCATTAATACTTTTTTGAGAAAACTCCACACTGTTTTTCCATAGTGGCTGCATCAGTCTGCATTCCTACCAGCACTGTACTAGGGTTCCCCTTTGCTCCACATCTTGGCCAGCACATGTCATTTGTTGACTTGTTGATGATAGCCATGACAGGTCTGAGGTGATATCTCATCATTGTTTTAATTTGTATCTCTTGGATGATTAGTGACTTTGAGAATTTTTTCATATGTCTCTTGGCCTTCTGTATGTCCATTTTGGAGAAGTGTCTATTTAGGTCCTTTTGACAATGAAGTAAAGACAGTCTCTTCAATAAATGGTGTTGGGAAAATTGGACAGGTACATGCAAAAAATGAAACTGAACTACCAACTTACACCATACATAATAATAAACTCAAAATGGATAGAAGACTGAAATATAAGTCGTGAAACCATAAAAATATTAGAAAAAATTATAGGCAGCAGAATCTTAGACATCTCTTGTAGCAACATGTTTACAGATATATCTCCTAGGGCCAGGGAAACTAAAGAAAATAAACAAATGAGACTACATCAAAATAAAAAGCTTCTACACAGCAAAAGAAACCATCAACAAAATGAAAAGGGAGCCCATTGCATGGGAGAACATATTTGCCAATGATGCATCTGATAAGTTGTTAATTTCCAAAATATATAAGGAACTCATACAACTTAACAAAAGGAAGACAAACAACCAAAGTTTTAAAAAATGGGCCAATATTGAGATCAACCTGTGAATTAACCTGAATCTATAGTTTCAATATGATAACCAGCTTGTAATTCTGTTGTTACAAGCTGGTTATCATATTGAAACTGTTTAAAAGCCATGGCATCACTCTTAAATTGCAAAGGCAATACCTATATTTAATCCAAGAATTATTCAACTGTAGAAATACAAATGCAGCTTTTTAAATGAAGATTTCTTGTGGTTTAGGATGAGAACATGCTTCATTCTGCTCAGGTTGTATCAACCTTTTGTCCATTTTATGTATTTTTAGGTGTACTTACCAAATATCACTTGTTGAATCTCAAATACCCACATCCTAACATTCCAAAACTCACACAAGCCACAGTCTCCAACTCTATGGATGACTTAGTTGAGACTCATTTGTGAAGCAATCTCACTTGTGGATCGTGAAAATCGGGCTTTATGTGAAGTAGGTGGGTTGCTGATCTGTAAGAATGCCATTCTTGACCAGGCCTTTATGAATTGTTTGTAAGCTGGACAGTGCAAGCTTTATTTTCCTTCTGTAATTAGCCAAAATAATTCTAGTGAAATTCTGGTAAAGATCTCTAGTATGAAATGAATGTAAAGTATTCATTCTTTCTCTCTGGTTTCATTCTAGCTCAGTTATTTATTTAAAAACAGTCCTCTAAGTTGCTTTTCCACTGCTTTTCGTGTTACAGATTGAAAATGTTGACGTCTGCCTTAGTTTTCTGGCAGCCAGAGGAGTAAATGTCCAAGGTCTATCTGCTGAAGGTAAGAAAAGGCCCGATTGTCGCAAATGATGCCCACGTTTGTAAAAGATTTTTTTCATAATGCAAGAAATGTCAATTGAGAGTTTAGCTTCTCAATACAATAAAGGAAATGAATACAGTTTCTAAGCTAAGAGGAACATAAATGCAATGGTTATGAATGTGTGCTTTAATTAACTGCTCTTTACATTGCTAAGTATATGGGAGGGGAGCAGATTAACAAAAAAGCTTTATGATATTACCAGTGTATAGTATTTTTAGAGTCTTAACTAGAGGAATGGATGGATGAATGATGCTGGATAATATATGGACCTAAATACAGGTAATAATAGTGTAATTAATGTTCCAATCTTTTATCAATAACATTTCTCTAATATGATCAAGTTCATAATTGTAGTTTAAATATTTGGTAATTTTAAATAAGTCACCATGAGCTCTAAGATAATTAGCACTAACAGTATTCAATAACTCCAAAGGCTTTAAAGTCATTAAGGTTTAAGAGATCATCATGAAAACTAAATATAGAAACATTGAAAAAGCCTGAACTAGTTCCGTCACTTTTTTTTTCTGAATCTGTTTCTTCCACATACATACTTAGGAAAATTTTTCAAGTAACTGCTAACAAAAAGCAATGGCTAAAGTTATGAAAGCAAGTCCTTTGAGACCTGCATCTACAACAAGCATTTTAATGAGAATATTAATCATTATATAAAAAGTTCTAGCTGCTGTCAAACACTTGGACCATTAGATTGGTTAATGTTTCTACTATGATCAGTTTGCTCTGAAAAGGCTTTTGTCCCCACAGATACTAGAAATATTAGATAATTCTACATTTTAAAATTTTGCTGTCATTGGAAAAAGAGGAATTGTGTGGCTTCTCAAACATAACAAACATTTAATAGAATTATTGACTTTTCTCAATTTTTATTCTATATTTAAATTTTCTTTTGTTTTAAATTTTTATTATATTTATATTTTATGTCTGCTATTAAATTACATATTTAATGGCCAAAAAACTTAGGCTCAAACCTCTCTGGTGGTTCTGTTACTTAGAATAAAATTTGAGAAAATTCTCCAAGATAATATTTTACTTTCTAAGTGGTTAAAAGCAAGCTAAATAATGCTACCATCATATATATATAGCTTCTCACATAACATCCTTTATTAACATAAAGCTATTAATATTAATTTATCTTCTAAAATACACAAATGCTCAAAATGACTTTCAAAGTATCTGAAGTAATTAAACATGCATAATAATAAAACAAGACAAATATTAAAACTCTTTAGATCATTCAGGTTTACAGGAGAAAATACTTTCTTATATCGATCAAACTAACTCTTCTGTATTATGTCAACTATGAGGAATGTTTGGGTGAGACAAATAGAAGAAAAACTCATAGCCTCATTTTATATGAATAATTCCACTGCATGGTTTATATGACACTATACTCCATCAGAGAGCAAGAATTCAAAATAGTTTATTAATGTTCCTAAACTCTATGAAGGAAACATAAAACTTTGACCTCACAGGAGGATGTGTTTTATTGCCAATAGCAACTTTTATTTAAAATATGACTACAGGTTGGATAGCCTTATTTTAAGCTTTACTCCCATCTCTTTTCCTAATTTTTAAATTATAACTACAAGAGAAAAATCTAGTCTCAGATTGTAGCTTACTTTGTGCATTTAATTTTTTATTCAATATTAGAAAATTTAAACAGGAGACTCATGTGTTAGAATTAGGATTTTTATTTGCATTTATTCAATTATGTTATATAAAGCCATGAGTAAATTGATCTTTATTATTTATTGATATGTACCATGAATTAAAAAGAACTGGACCATTAAAAACTGATACCGATGATGTACTCATATGTATACATATGTATTTTGATAAATGATGGGTGATTTAGAAGGCATGTTGACTGCTACAAATTCAATTGCTATTATGAGATGCACCCAACCCATCATTACTTATAATTCAGGGACAATGACATTTAAGTGGCTTTCTTTCTCTGGTTTGTAGCCACCCCGGTTTAGGTAACAGCTGTGTGGGTTTGTGCGGGAAGGAAGGTGCTAAATCAAATGATCGACCCAAGACAGAGAGCCCATCCGTTTCCAAGAAGAAGCTAACTCTAGAAAAAGTGTCGTTCAGGGTCAGCAAAGAACATCGCTCCAGGAAACTTTGTTCTCTGTGCCCTCCATCCCTTCCCTTTCTCCCTGAAATCCCAAGTCCTTGGAAATGTTCACATGTCAGAAATCCAGATTTGTTTGAACCTGTGACTGAGAGAGTCATGTTGCATTTCTCTCTTTGTAGATACAGTCTAAGGGAATGGCATCTAGAATGTCATTGGTAAAAATATAAAAATAAAACCACATTCATTTCGTATGATACTGTTTTTATATTTTCCCTTTGATGCAGAAATAAGAAATGGAAACCTAAAAGCCATTCTAGGGCTGTTTTTCAGTTTGTCTCGCTATAAGCAGCAGCAGCACCATCAACAGCAGTATTACCAGTCCTTGGTGGAGCTTCAGCAGCGGGTCCCTCAGGCCTCTCCTCAGGCAGAAGCCAGCCAGGCCAAAACCCAGCAAGATATGCAGTCCAGGTAAGGCAGGGAAGCAGGGCAGGTGTTTAAAGTCAACTTGTGGGTACAGCTTGTTTCTAACAGACCCTTGTTTGTGATTTTGAAAAAATGTATTTATGTAGTTCTATCAATGTGATGAGATTATTTGACTAATGTTAATAGAAGCTAAAACCACTTTTCTTTGGTGGGATGAGCAACATGTATCACTTTTTAGGTGACATATTTGTGTTTGTTTCCTAAAAATGATTATGATTTGTATCAAAGTGTGTGGTGTCTTTCTTGTTAAGTAATACGGCACAGTCCCTTCCTTCCGCAAACTGCTGTATCATTTAGAATGTGCTGTTGAATCCTAGTCTCCAGTTGTATAGATATCTTTTGTTGACACGTTTGATGGGTTGAGTCATTGAATCGGTCAAAAATTTCAGTTCTGAAACACAGGAGTTTGAATGTTTGAAAACATACTGTTTTTGATGTGAGATTGTGTGTGTGAGTGTGTGTGTGTGTTTAGATACACACATGTATATGTTTGTCTGACTGGAGTCTATTGGTGCATGTAGACACAGCCTGGGGCTGGGTGCTAGCAAATCATGGCAACTTCTTTCCCTCTGGAATTACTGCTTTCTCCTCCCCCTCCTTCTCCCCCTCCCCCTTTTTGGAATTATGCTAGTCAGGATTGAACCAGAGAAGCAGAACCAGTAAGAGGTATATATTAAGAGATTGATTGCGAAGGATTTATCTTACATGTTCGATATTTTACATGTTCATGGGGTCTGGCTAGGCAAGTCTGAAATCCTAAAAGCTGCCAGCAGGAAGAATAGGCTGAAACTCTCAGCATGAACTCAAACTGCTATACACAGGTGGAATTTCTCAGGAAATCCTCAATCCTGCTTTTTTGGGACCTTTCCAGGGATCAATCAGATCCACCCAGATTATATAGAGAATCTCCCTTACTTAAAGCCAACTGCTGTGGACTTTAACCACATGCACAAAATACTTTCACAGCAACAGCTAGGTTAGTGTTTGATTGGATAAGTGGCACTGCATGAACCTAGCCACGTTGACACATCAGAAAATGATCACAGAATGAAAATAACAAGTTTCATGCAAACTGCACCTCTGTTCCTGAGCAATGACCAGGGTATCAGGTAATTAGCTCTATTGCATAAATATTTATGATTACTCTTTTTTAGGAGGGAGAATGTACAATATGAAAATACTCTTCCATTGTCTTTAAAAATATATACACATATCAAACATGCATAATTATTGAACTTTTTCCATCTGAGAAACCAAGCTTGAAACCTAATGATGATCAGTTTGTCTTGAGTTGGATTTTAGTAGTTAGTATTGACCCAAAAAGTTACAAGAAACTCCAAAATGCATTCACAAACCACCCCCCACTTATTGTCAAATAGTCCGCAGTTCAGAAATTGCTTTCTCTTTCACCTGTCAATAAGTTCTCACTTCATAGTAACCAATATGTTTTTCTCCATATAACCACGTAAACTCTATTCCCTTTGGCAGATTTTGCTAATTAGTTAATTATTAAATCAATAAAGAAAAATCATAGTTTCACTGAAAAAATATAGAGGACTACAATGTCCATGGAGTGATAAAGGATATTTCTCATTACTTACTAATACAGGTGTGCCTGTGTTTACATTCTTATTGGCTTTTGTGACGTCAAGTGAAATTGTGCAGGAGTCAAAGTGAAAAAAAAATTATCTACAGTGTAAGTTCTTTGAAATTCTTAAGAATAAAGAGGGAGAAAAGAAATTTTTTGAATTAATGTTTTGGGGGGATGGTTGGGGGAAAGATCTAAATTTTGAAACTGCCAGAAATAACATTTTCTAGTTTGATTTAAGCTATTTGAATTGATGAGAAGCAAGAATAGTAGCTGAAAAATCTAGGAAGTAAAGTGGCATTATACAAAGCATGTTGACTCTGGAAGTGAGCTGGAAGATCATTTGTCACTGATTTCCCTCATTCCATTTCTGTGTCTGCCATGTGTAATTTATTGCCCAGAACTTCCCAGTGGTTATGACTGTTTGGGAGAGATTTTTTTTTCTTTTCTTGTTGGGTATGCATTGCTGTTATGAAACTATTATATTTTAAAATATAGGGCTGAATATAATAGGCATGGTAATTTTATACCACTTGGGGAGAAACAGTCATTTCTTTTATTGCAAGTTTATGAAAAGTATTCTTTTTACCAGTGTCCTTTAAGAATGAGGTAGACTCTTAATTTTCTTCTATTAAATTGTATTTAATTATTTTTTGGATTGATAATTAATTTACTAAATGTATATGTGTTTTGGAGAATATTATATTTTAGACATTAATAATTATTTCCATTTGTATAAATTTAGTGTAGTGATATTGTTTGTGAATTAGAATTTATGTGGACTTACATATAACAATCAATGTAGTTCAGCATTTCTCAAAAGCCCTTAGTGATGTGATAATATACATAGGAAATGAATATTGTGTTTATCTAATAGAACCAAGATAATTCATGCAGAAAAAGAATCCCACTGACACATTTATATTCATTTGCTTGAGATGTGAGTCATAAATCAAGATTTATAAAGTCTTTCTATTCATTCCAAAACTCTTTTCAAGTAAATAGTATAAATGATTAGTTGCTATATTACTCAGGATATTTAGCCAGAAAATGTTTTTTTTTCCTGTAGATTAATTTTAAAAAATTGTTTCAATTCAGTATGAGTGTTTTGACATGTACTCTTTTTTATTTAAAATAAATAGGTAGAACTGTATATATTTCCACAGTAGTTTTATTTCATACATTAAGAATTGCTAATTTGGTTTTGCTGTTTTGAAAATAATACCATGTTTTCAGTCAATTTGAGTATCTTTCATTTAAACAGACAATTTGATCTAAAAATTAACAAGTGAAATAAACGAGAAGAAAATAAAATGTGGACCAAAAGAGATAGAATGTAGGGAACAAACTCTCCTTAGTCTCTCAGCTTCCTCTCCACTCCTGAGGGCATGTGTTTGTGGGTGTTGCATGCATGTGCATGTCCTGTTCAAGGAGCAACTAGAGGTCTACTTACTAAGAGCTCAGCCCTAGAATCAGATGCCTGCACTTGCATTCAATATAACCACTTCCTAATTGTGTGACCTTGGGCCACTTACCCAACTCCTCTGTGCTTCAGGCTTTCATTTGTTACAAGGGAGTGAAAAATAGCCCTGGTCACATGAGGTTGTTTGGGGGCAAAGGGTCAGTACTTATAAAACACTTTGAATCTAACTGACATATTTCACTTCCCTACTCAAAGCCTTGCAATGGTTTCAGATAGCCCAGGCTTGCTTCCATCTTAGGAAAAGTGTGCTAGCTGATTCATATGCCTGGACCGTTCTTCTCTGATAGGTGCTTGGCTGAACTTCCACCTTTTCAGGTCAACTTTTGATCCGATGCTAACCTTCACTAACCTTTTAACACTACAGGCTACCCATCTTTTCTCCCCATTGTAGTACTTTGTAGTATGTTTCATTTTTATTTCTTTGTAGCTCTAATCACCCTCTAACTTACGATTTACTTATCTATATATCTATCCTATCTAATAAAGAGGGAATATGCTAATTGACCCTTGCGCTGTTGCAAAGATGGCGGCACCCACAGCCAATAAGGAGGGAATATGCTAATTGACTACCCCACCCTCAAAGATGACGGCGCCCACAGCCAATAAGGAGGGAATATGCTACTTGACTGCCACACCCTCTAAGATGGCGGAACCCACAGCCACAAATGACAGCGCCCAGTCCCCTCAGCCCTGCCGGGGCGGCAGGCATGTGGCAAGGCTGGGCCCACCCCAGGCAGGCCCAGCCTTGCCACACGCCTGCCTCTGGAGTCCTCCAGTCCCCTCAGCCCCCCAGCCTCCCAGGATGGCCCGAGGCGCTGGCAAGCCTCAGATGGCAGCTGCCGAGCCACTCAGGGCCGGCCCGAAGCTCAGGTAACCAGGGCCGGCTAAAGCTTGTGCTGCCAGCAGTGGCAGCAGCAGAGGTGTGATGGGGCATCGCCTTTCCCTGATCATCAGGTTGCCTCCCGCCCTGAGGGCTTTCGGACTATGAGGGGGGCAGGCTGGGCTGAGGGACCCCGAGAGTATATATAAAAGCCTAAGCGGCTGGCCGACCAGCCAGTAGCTATGATACGCACTGACCACCAGGGGCCAGACATTCAACACAGGAGCTGCCAAGCGATAGCAACTTTGTAGAGTGCCCTCTTGCACTCAGGACCCCTCCGGGGATGTCGGACTACTGGTTTTGGCCCAATCCCTGCAGTCCTGGCTGAGGGACCCCACCTGCCTGAGGGACCCCTCTTACTCCGCAGATGCCCTTAGAGCCCCAGTGCCGCCCAAGGTGCGGCTGGCCATGGAAGGACCGTGGGAAGTTGGCTCCAGGGTGTGTCTGGCCCGTCTTGCCCAGTCCTGCCCCGCTAGCCACCTTCTAATTAATTTACTTTCAATGTGCACGAATCCCTGCACTGGGCCTCTAGTTTATTATATTCATTGTTTATTATTACCACTTTCTCCTCTCTAGAATGTAAGCACTCTGGGGACAGCAATATTTTTATATTTTAGTCACTTGTTGTAGTCCAAGAACTAGCATAATAATAAAATAACTTATTATTACTATTATTTATTGATTTGACTGAGAGAGGAGGGGGAAAGAGAGAAATGGAGAGAGAGAAAAAAATATGGATATATTTTTCCACTTATTTATACATTCTTTGGTTGATTCTTCTATGTGCCCTGCTCGGGGATTGAACCCATAACCTTGGCATATCAGGATGATGCTCTAACCAACTGAGCTACCCAGCCAGGGCCATATAATAAGTATTTAGTAATTATTTCTAAATGTGTTACTGTAAGAATCTGTACTATAACTGCTTTCAATTTAAGTAGGAACTCTTTTTTTAAAAATATATATTTTATTGATTTTTTACAGAGAGGAAGGGAGAGAGATAGATAGTTAGAAATATCGATGAGAGAGAAACA